ATGCAGAAGTTATTAGCCTAAAAAGCACATTATTTCTGACTGAAGGTAGTGAAGTACGTGTATAAAGTAGCATAAAATGTAAATGCCTAAATAAAGTAATGTTTCCAACACTACCCCTGGCACTGGCAGCATGGTTTGCATAATGGTTGAGCTGTAATATAATTTATATTACATCTCAACAAAAATCACATATATATTATATTGTGTAAAATATATGTACATGTGTAGTACATTAGCCCAAAACACAGTGTAAGATTTAGGGACATCTAGTGGTGAAATTTCAGCTTGCAATTAACTGAACACCGCTGGCGTCTGTATTTGACGACCTGGGAATGAGAACGGGCTGTAAAGTGTGAGAGAAACAATGGTGGTCATATAATACCAATACTTTGGTTTATCTCAAATGGCTTGTAAAATAGTGCATGTAGCTACTGTAAATGTGAAAGTCCACAAAAGTTTTGGGCAGTGTACAATGTCTGACTTTTCCCATGTTCAGCACTTCTACTTCCCGCATCCATGGAAGGGTGGGGACTAAGAGCGGCAGGTCTGTGAAGGTTGAGAAAATGTTGGTGTCGGAGCAAGTTTGGGCCTAAAGTGAGGGAGAAGCACTATCTGCAACCACACATTTTTCTGGTACATTTACAAAGAGAACAAACGTCTCACCGTGCAGCTCTCTGTGCAGCCTTCACCTCGTCAGGATGCGGTATCCCTTGATATTCTCCTTCGTACATCTGATCCTCTTCATCATGTCCCTCGGTTACATCGCTTGCTGCGTCCTCTTCCTGGGGAGGGTAGTCCGCCTGGTATCCATATCCATCTTGGTCACCGCCTTCTCCATAAGTCCTGTAGCTGTCACCCCCTCTTTGGTGGTATACATTGTTTTGGTAGGGGTCAGCCATCTTGGCTTACTAGACCTGCAAGGCTAATGGCTAATTTGACAACAAATAAAAGGCTTTTGTTTAGCTTGTTATTTAAGTTTAGTCTGGTGTTAAATTTCAGAAATGAGTGATTGAATCAAACTTGCAGTTTGATATTTTAGTTAAACATGATGTGTTGATTAGCAGAAAAGTGCAAACTATGCTAGCATCACATTCATTAGTTACAGTGACTGTGGTCCTCTCACTGGCTTTTAAGGTTAATAGTGAATAATGGTATCACAAATTCACCCAACAGTCGTGTTGTGCTAGCTAAGAGCAGATATTCTGAACATAAACTAGCTCACTGTGGAACTTTGTGTAGTAATGTGTGTCTGTCTCAGCTCCAGGTTTTAGCTGTTGTGGTGGTGCTGGAAGTGTCTTGAGAGTCCTCAGACCTCGTCTTCAGTTTTCATTCCTGAAAACAGAAAAATCCAAGTTAGTTTATTTCTCATAGCAGCCCATATGGGTACTTCGGCCCCTCTAATTTGACTGGAGCTAGGTATAAATTCCGAGTTCTTTGCCAATTTAAAAGCACAAAACAAGAATACTTTATTGCTTTTTAGCTCATTGCCGATCAATGATCAGCGTTTGAGATTCTATCCTCTGCAGATATTTTTCGATATTGTTTGATGTGCAAAATGTGACGCAGCAGCTTTTGGGCATAGTGCCACTAGGCATTTTGTTGTTGTTTGTTTCACCCAAAAGGGGGCATGGTCGTTTTGAAGACAAGTGACATATGTCTGCTCTTATCTATTGCATAACTGACCCTTACTAAGCCCCACCCCCTTTTAACCATCTTCTCTACAAGCCTAGCACATAACATATTTAAGTTCAGGAAAGGAGGAAGTTGACCGAGGTTCCAAAAGGGGTGGGATTTAGTAAGGGTCAACTGCTGCGTACACGTAGGGTCTAATGTTGTAGACTTTAATGAATGAACATGGTTTGCCACTTTTACGTGCTATTCTTTCATGTTTTAATGTGCTTAACTAGTTCAACTTGACCTTGATGTCAAACTGCCATTTAGTTGTGTTTATGTACACATAAATATGCACACATGCATTTGCACAGAATCCTAAACCAACCAGAGCAATATCAGCTTGAAATTCTCCAAACGCTGTGTAACGTAGTTAGCTGTCTGAAGGCAGATGGTCCTAGATGGACTAAAATACAAAGCCCATGTTACTCATATGTGATTTACATTTGATGAGATAAAGGTTCCTCACTGGCCAGATTTGTAATGTTCATTTTTCATTTGCATGACAGCAGAAATCCTTTCAGTATAATGTTGGAGGATTTTCAGTTTGTAAAACTTTCATTTAAACCTGCCTTATGCTGCTTTCCCACCTTATTCAAACTCATTTCAGTAATATGAGTGACCTTCCCACAGTGATCTCATGGTATTTGCCCTAACAGACCAGAACAGTGCAGGAGGTGGGACTGAAGAAACCAAAACTAAATGGAGACAGATTAGACTAATTATGTGTGTTATACGCAGGTTCAAAAGCATTTTTTGTATGTTTTTAACAGATCAAATTCCTGCTTTATGTGTATATTTGCTTATAGTTTGATCGATTCATACCTTTTTATCATTTATCAGAGAAATGTGAGTAGTTTTTGAGAAGAATACTTTTCACTTTTACAAGTATTTTTTAACACCAGTAGTTTTACTTGTAGCTGAGTTGAGTTCATTTAAAGGGACACTTCGCCCATTTGCATTAAGCTTTGTATCATTAGAAGCCCAGTCATATTTTTGAATGGTCGTGCATCATTCCCTCACTTCACCGGAGAGGGGAGAAATACGGATTTCAAGTGCTTGCACTTCTGCTTCCAACTGATAAAATCCTCATTTTGCGTCATTGGAAGCAGGAAAGTTCAATATCTCTGCGTAAGGAGCTCGAGACTAGAGAGGCCAACCACTACCACTGTCCTCATTTTTTTCACTCACGGTAAGATATCACAGCATCAGCTCGTGGACTTCACTTGCAGAAACTAAAAATATAACCGCGCCATCTTGTTTGGAAGCTAAGCGGAAGAGCTGTAAAAGATCCAGACGTAACTTCATACGATCATGGTGATCAAATCTATATAAACAGGAAGACTTTGAAAGTGCTGAGAACGGTCGAATCAGATGTTCGTGGGTGACGCCAGCGCGTCCGCGTGTTTACTGAGGCCGCCAATATAGGCAAAGAGCACGCTGAGGATTCTGCCGCCGAGGCGTTCTCACTGTGCGTCTTACGGACCACCCGGCGACGTCTGACTGTAACCGCTGACCGCTGTCTCTCTATTCCTTCTTTCTGATCTCTACTTTCTCCTTTCTTCATCAACAACGTGGCGCAGTGGTACTGCGCGCTACACAAGTTTTGTTTCAAGCATCTCACCAACACCAGTTATTCCGCGTAATACCGTAAGCCGTCAGCCACACTGAACCTAGGTTTCTCTTACTCGCCACAACAGGCTTGCAGTTGCATTGCTAACTACCTGTGGCCACACTAAACACAAAGACCCATGCATCGCTAACCTGTGTTGCTCAATGTCTTGTCAGACAATATCGCTAACAAGCCTTTCTGGAATGGGTCTGCCAAGGACGAGAGATTGGACTCCGAGGCTACTGGTCGTCCGTTTACCCTGGTGTGGT